ACAGCCAGCAGAGAACCCGGCACTGGGGGTGGCCAAAGGATGCCCCCCTACCCGCAGCAACTGCCCAGGCCCTCACTCCTCCATGTACCCCTGATGCCCTCCCAGGACAGAGGGCCCCAGGCTTAAGCTTCCCAAGCAGCTCTCAGTGCCTCCCGCTGCAGATCAGGGCGATTACGGGAGAGTCGCTAATAAATGCGGCGTGACACAGATTGCTGCTGCCGTTCCCTCTGTAGCTGGCACTCCTGGGTGCTGGCTGGCCTGCCAGAAGAAAGGGCCTCTGTGCCCAGCCAGGAGTGCCTGGGCAGTGAGAGGAAGCCCCTTCGTGCTCACGTACCCCTGGCACTGCCCACCAGGACCCCCCTTTCTCCAGCCCCAACCCAGCCAGAATTGGGCATGATCTCCAGAGTGTGATGCCAGGGTCAGGACTCCCATGGCCCGATGTCAGCACCCCGGTGGCAGTCTGGTGTTGGGGAGGGAGTTCTGGCTGGCTCAGGGCATCAGCAGCTCCCAAGGCCAAGCAGAGGGCACGTGCCAGACACCTGAGACCTGTGCCACGGAGGTGCCAGGTCTAAGTACGAGGCAGGGAGGGAGCTGGCAGGGCTGGAGGGGCATGGTGTTGGAGCACCCTGTGCCAGCCATGCCTTGCATCGAAGAGATCAGGTGTGGCCCTGGCTCTCCCAGGGCACCAGGGTGTGGGAGGAACCCCCTGCCCACACAGAGGCTGACACTGCCCTACAGGAGGCTCCTGGAGCCAAGCTGAGGTGGCAGCGCCAGCCCACGTGCCCCGACTGCTTCCCCGGTGCTGAGATGCAAATCTCAGCTCCAGGGGCAGCTGTGCAGTGCAGGCAAATGCAAAGCCAAGCCCTGCCCGGTGTGTGGGGGACACACTATGCCTCCCTCCATCCCAGGGCAGCTATACCAGCTCCCCTCTCCCTTTCCCCCATGCTCCCCTGCCAGCAACCGACCCCAGTGCCCTCTCCTGGCTGCCGGGGCTGCCTAGAGCCTGCACGGAGCAGAGCAAAGGCCTCGGGGATGCGGCCCTCCCTGCCCCCCCCGCCCAGCCCCAAAGGCTGGGTCATTGCTCAGCTGCTTCTCGGCGGAGGCTGGAGCCTCAGCGCTGTTTGTTTTCAAAAGGCCTTTGTTGAAAAATAAGTGGGCAGGGAGGGGGGGCAGGCTGTGGCCAACCCCTCCTGGGAACCCAAACACAGCGCCCGGCCATGGGGTCTGCGGGTGTGGGGGGAAAGGGGGGGGAGCAGCCACGGGCATGGCCACGGCCCCCCGTCAGACCCTCCCCACCAGCCCAGGAGCATCAGGGCCCTGGGTGGGGGGCTGTGGGCCGTGCCCTGCCGCCATGGTGGGGGTGAGCGTGCGCTGGCCTCGCGGCCTCAGTTATGTCAATATTTTTGCTCTGGGAAGAACAAAGCCGGTTGATCCCCAGCATGGCCGGCCCCCCGGCTCTGGGCAGCAGGAGCACATGGCCCCGCTGGTGGGGCGTGGGCGGAAGAGGGCCAGGCAGGCAGACAGGCCATGGGCACAGCTTCCAGGCTGGTCATCCAGGGGCATGGCCCTCCCATCCGCACCCCCACGGCCGCCCTGCCCAGAAATGGGCTGCCAGGAACAGAGGGCTGCTTGGCCCCTCATCCTGCCTAGCCCACGTCCCTGAGGCTGGTCCCAGCACGCTAGGCGCTGCGTGTCTTGGCAGGAGCGCGGCCCAGCCCTCGTGAGCTCTGGAAACGGCCGGCAGGGGCTGGAGAGGGGCAGGACTGTCCCCGCTGCATGGCCTGGCACACAGGTGAAGGGACATGGCCTGGGTCACACCGGGAGGCTGTGGCAGAGCCAAAGCCAAAGCCAGGTCTCGGCCCTCAGGCCTTCCTCCTCTCTGGCTGGGCTGGGCCAGGCCCAGTGCTAGGTCTGAAACAGCTCATCCCCCCTCAACCACCTGCCCTTAGGGCTTGGAGCTGGGCACGCTCTGCCCCCCACCCCATTGCTTGGGGACAAGGCAGATAGGTCCCCAGGCGAGTGCTGAACCCTGGGCCCAGGTGCGGGGAGCCGCTCAGGGCACCGCCAGGCCACAGGAGGGGCAGGACAGGGCAAGGCAGGGTGAGCTGCCTAGCCGCCAGGCTGGGCCCTGGGTTCGAGTCCTGACCCCCCACCCTGCCGCTCTACCCCCTGGTGCTGTGCAGCCATCACCCTGGTTTCCCAGCCATAAGGTCTCTGGCAGGGGCCACCCTCTCCTTCCAGCCAACCCCAGAGCTCCTGCATCCTCCTTCCCTTGGGCGGCAGGCTGCCTGGCGTGTGCACGCGGCCTTTGTTCCCCTTTCCTGCTAGTCTCCTGGTGAACCGCCCTGTGACGGCATCCTGGGGAGGAGGATTTCCAGGCCCCTGCGTGTGCTGGAGGTGGACATGGCCCTGGCTGGTGCTGCCGTGGCCCTACCTGCCAGCCAAATGGCTTGTTAGTGATGTCCCAGCCAGCTCTCAGTGGGCCCTTCTCAGAAGCGGGGGGACCCTGCAGCTCAGCAGGGCCCCCACCCTTATTTCCTCAGCAGCCTGGAGCAGATCCCTCCTTTGGGGCTGGGAGGCGCGAGCATGGACAGGGCTCCCAGCTGGGCAGGGGCAGGAAGCGCCGTGGCCACACAGTGCCAACGGGGCCTTGGGGCAGGACTCAGACCCAGAGCACCCTGACAGCTGGGCCCTGCCCCTTCCATGGCCCGTCGCTGCCCCAAGCTTGCCTCTGGGCTAATGAATAGGGGCTGCCCTGTGCTCAGACCCCAGCGACTGGCCCAGTCCCCCTCCGTGCTATGGGGACCCCTCAACCCAGCTGCCTTGGCCAATTGTCCCCCCCTCCAGGACCCCCAACTTCACTCTCCTATTGCCGCTTTTCCCTGGCTCCCCCCAGCCTCCTCGACCGCCCAGGTCCCTGCCCCCTACCCCCTTCTCCACCCCTGCCACCCCAGCTCCCAGCACCCCCTTCCTCCATGCCTGGGCACAGGGATGCGGACAGAGGCACGGCACAGCCCTGGTCCAGACAGAGCTCTGCCCAGCCAGCCCCGGCCCCATCCCCACTTTGCTCCCAAGAGGCTGGTCTGATGCTCAGTCTGGGGCAGGTTCTGGGCAGCCGCAGGGCCACGTGCTGGCTGAGCAATCCCACCTCCCCTGCCTCCGGGAAGTGATGAGTGAGGAAAGCAGCGGGTGGAGGAGTGCAGCTTGGACCCGTCAGCCTGTCAGCCACGTGCCTCACCCCCTGCCTGCTCCCCACCGCTGCCCCCGGCCCCATTGGGAGGGCACCGTGCCCTATCTTTGGTGTCTGCTCCAAGCAACTGGTGTGGTGCCCAGGGCAGGGCAGCGCTGCCCCCCGTCCCCTGCCCGGCCCTGCTGTCTCGCCAGGCAGGCCTCAGGGGCTTTCTGAACCCCGGTGTCCAGGTCGAGAGCCCCGCTCTCGCTGCAAGCCCATCTCTCCCCTGCCCAGGATGCTGAGGGAGGCCTTTGCAGGGCATCGCTATGGTGCTCACATTGGACATGCCCAGGCCCTGCTGCCAAGCCCCTGCGCTCCCTTCCCCCCTGGCTGAAGCCTCCCTTTGTCTCCCGCTCACTGCTCCGAGCACTTGGCATGCAGGCCCGGCCCCAGGGACGGAAGCCAGGCAGCAGAGTCCTTGGCACTGCCCATGCCCAAAGGGGTCTGTGATGGGCCCCCGCCATGCCAGGGTCTCATGCAGGATTGGGGAGGGGGGTGCCCGGCGCTCCCACAGGCTGGGGCCCTGCAGCTGCCCCTGTCAGCAGGCGCCAGCACCATCCAGGCCCTGCCAGCCCTGGCACACCTGGCAGCAGAGCAGCTGGCAAATACATAGCAGCATGTTAGGGAGATGGAAACCCCCCACCTCCCCTCTCCCTCAGGCATCCAAGCACATGGACAGGGGAGGTGCTGCTAACAGGCACATGGAGCCCAGCACCCCGCTTGCCCACCCACCCAGCCCTGCCACTGCCCAGTGCGGGGGAGAATGGGCACACGGGGTTGTTTGAGGACAGCCACCCGCCTAGCACTGGCACAGGCATCTTCCTGTCATGTGCCAACTTTGCGGCCTCCTGGCTATCCATGGTGCCCAGGGCCCCAGCCTTGCCTGCTCTGGCCCTGGCTTCCAGAGCTGGCACCCAGATGCCCGGCAGCCCTGGTGGGGTGCTAGCTTGGGCAGTACCAGGGCTGATAACAGCCCATGGCCATGCCCCTTTTCTGCACCAGTTCTAGAGATATTTTGGGGTGGGCACACTGTTGCTATTGATCTTTCCCTGAGGAGACAGGGGCCGGGTACCTATAGGGGTATGGAGGGCAGGGTGCTGGCACCATGTACTGCCAGGATCCAGCCCATTGAGAGATACTTCCCTGGTGCCTGGCGAGGCTGGCCGGACTCTTGCGTCCCGCAGTACCAGCTTCCCTGCAGACTCTGCCCAAGCCCCTACCCCATGCCCAGCCTTGCCAGCCCCCGCCTCTCCCACCCCCTGGCTGTGCTCTTGGCTCTGTGTGCCTCTTGGCATGGGCTGGAGCCAGAGGGCTCTTCCGCAGGGCAGAGGTGCTTTGTCTGGGCCCCAGCAGGCTGGAAAGCTCAAAGCGCTGGACCTGCTGGGCTGGCCTGTGTCCTGCTGGCTGCTCGCACTGCCTATGCACGCTGTGCTGGCCTGGCACTCCCGGGGCACCGTGGGGGGCTCAGTGCCCTGCAGGGGGGCAGGACATTGTCCTCCTCCCACAAAGCCTGCCCAGTCAGAATCGGACATGGCCTGGAGCCAGGAGCAGTGGACACGGCTGGGGGCAGGTGCAACTGGGGTGGAGACATGAGTGCCCCTCGGGGTCTGGCTCTGGGTTATCGCAATGCCCGGCAGCCTAGAGGGTCCTGGTGTCTCCCAGGGCATCCTGCCCTCCCCTTGAGCCCCACCACAGGGCCCCGGGAGCAGCAGTGGGGACACCGTTCCTGTGCCCCCCACCCAGGCACTAACGCTGCTCTCTCCGGCAGATGTATGGGCGCTATACGCAGGACCTGGGGGCCTTCGCCAAGGACGAGGCGGCTCGCATCCGGGTGCAGCAGGAGCACTGGAAAGCTTTCCCCAGGGAGCGCCTGCGCCCCCCAGAGCTGCTGGAGTACAGCCAGAGCCGCTGTGCCCCTTGCCGCAGTAAGCAGGAGCTGGGGGGGAGGCGGGGCAAAGGGGCAGGGTGGGCAGGACCCACCCTCCTTGCATGCATGGCCCTGGGTGTGCATACTTGGTCCCTAGGGCACATGCGTAAGAGCCCCCTGGTGCACACTGTGTGCACAAGAGCATGCTGGAGCACACTCGTTCCTGTGCACACCCAGCCCCTCACATTCCTCTGAGCTCAGCTCTGACATACGTGCACGCCGGCCCCTGGCCTGTGGGCATGTGCACTGGGGCGCCCTCTGGCTCTCATACGTGCCCCCGCTGAGACACACCCTGTCCCTTGTGCGCAAGGGATGTGCTCAGGTGGGCTCACATGCACTTTGGCATGCTCCTTCACATGATGGCATGCTCAGTCCTACAAGCGCTCAGCCCCTTGTGCACACGCGTGCTTACATGGGCTCAGTTCCTGTGCGTGTGCAGGCCAGCGCACACTTGGTTAGCCCTTGCATGCTTGTAGGCTGCAAGCTGGTACACACTCAACCCCTCCGGCACACGCTTAGTCTCTGCTGCACATCCATGTTCAGGCTGGCACGCACTCAGTCCCTCATGCACACACCTTGTCCCCCCTTGCCCACATGCATGCATGTCGGTGCACGCTCAGCCCCCCCATGCATACACACTTACATGAGCTCAGCTCCCGTGTGTGTGCACACCAGTGCACACTTGGGCCCTCTTGCACATATGTGTGCACACGCAGTCCCTGTCTGCACATGTATGGATGTGCCCCCAGCCCTCCTCCGTGCCACTCCCTTGGCCCCAGGCCCACCGCTCCTTTCCCCGGGCCACGGTTGTGTTGACTCAGGGGCCATGCGGGTGGTGCCGGCCTGGCCCTGCTGGGTTCCCCAGGCCCCTTTCTTCTTTGTTTTCCTCACTCCCTGGCTCCGCGGCCCTCCTTGCCAGGCCCCTTCCCCCTCACCGGCCAGTGCCTCCTGGCAGGAGTGCAGCCACTGACCCATAATAATAGGCCGGGCCTGCATGACCTCAGCAGAGCCGCGGGGAGCCGACCACGTCCTTGGCACCGCCCACTGCCCCAGCCCACAGATAGAGTTACCCGCCAGGACAATGGCACCTGCCCGCTCGGGCCGCTGGGACGTGGCCACCCAAAATAACCTGCGGCCCTAGCTGGGCCCCACTCCTCCCTCCACCCCTGTGCCAGCGCCCGCCCACTCCATCTCTGTGCCCTCTTGCCCCTGCCCTATCAGTGCCCAGGGGCTCTGATTGCCCTCCCTCTCCATGCCCCTATGAGGACCACCTGGCACAGGCATGTGTGAGGCTGAAGGGGGGGTTGTTCAGTGTATACACGCGCATACACATGCGTATATGTGCACACACGCATTAGACACACACACATACAAACACATGCACGCACACACCCCCGCATATGCATATGCACATGCACACACACACACTGTGACAGGGTCCCGTGACTCATCCCCCCCAGCCAACCGGGCCAAGCAGGTCTGCGGCTGTCCTAGTGCTGCCCAGCCTGGGGAAGCAGGTGTGTGTGACATCCCTACGGCGCTGTGATGTCAGCATCAAATCACACGGTGCCCGGAGGAGAGGGGTGGTGGAGGAGGGCTGTGTGCCCCCATGGGGGTGCTGGCACTTGGGGCCACAAGCATGTGGCATGAGGAGGGGCCAGGCAGGGGCCTGCAGAAAGTGCTTGCATGTATACATGCATGTGTGTGTGCATGTAAGTGTGCAAGGGGGTGTGCCCCCACCTTGCAGCTGAGCATGGGGTCCTGGGGGATTTCAACCTGGTGTCCATGCAGCAGGGGCACCCCGTACCCACCTGCCCTGGGCACAGCCCAGACTTGCTGCCCACCCGCTCCCAAGACCTTAAAATAGTTCCCTTGGCAACGGCCACGGCTCCAGCTCACATTGTTCCTGGGGCACATTCTCCGCCCGAATGCCGCTGCCGCTGGCTCCCGGCAGCTTATGCCAGTGCCCAGCCGGCTGCAATGGTGCCCAGCTTCCCCAGGACCCCTCCCGGCTGGCTGCTGGCCCTTCGGCTCCTGCCGCCAGCCAGAGCAGAGCCCTGGGTTGAGGCTGCCGCCGTAGTGCCCTGGGCTGGGCACTGCTGCCCTCCGGCTGCTGGGGGCTGAAAGCGGGCAAGCACTGGGCACCAGCTCATCTCCCAGAAGCTAGGAGAAAGCAGGCTCTGATGTGGGGCTGGAGGGGGGCACTGGGCCACCTGCCCCATGGAGGGCCCTGGTGTAGCATGCCATGGTGGGGGCACCTGGCGATGGGGGATGTGGGCAGAGCAGGCAGAGCCAGGGACCCCCTGAGAGGTGGGTACAGGCAGGACCCCTTCCTCTGTGGGACTCCAGTGTCTGTGCCCTCTGGCAGCCCTCTGGCAGGGCTGGTCCTAGCTGAGGGCACCTGGACCAGGCTGGAGCGGAGCTCCCCACTTCAGCCTGGCTCAGCCTTGCCCTGCCCTACACAGCCATGCTCCCGGTCCCTCACCCGTGGTTGCACGTTCCCCCAGCAGAGGGCACCCCAAGCCTGCACTCCAGGGCAGCAGGGTAGTGCCCACCGCCCCCAGTGGTAATGGAGCCGTCCCATGGGCTCTGCCCCGTGTTTAGCCAGTGTGGGCCAGACCCACACCTGGGACGGGGGCACACGGTGAGGCCCTGGCTGGGGGAAACAAGCAAGCTGTGCCCAGGCCCCTGTGCCCACCCTGCCCAACAGCCCCTTCACCTCCCTGCTGCCTCCAGTGCTCAGGCCCCCTGGCTCCGCAGGGCAGAGTCCAGCCCCTGCCCCCATGGGGAGGCACCTCATGCTGGAGCCTGCTGGGCTGGGCAGAGTCCAGCCCTCAGTATTTGGGGGGCACGTGTGGGTAAAGGCAAGCCCCTGCTAGCTCCCAGCAGTGCCTGGCACAGCCCCTATGCACCCCAGCCCTGAGCCCCCCTGAGCCAGGGAGCTGGGAGCCTGGGCTCTGCTGAGGCAGTCCTCCATGGGTCTGCTGGAGCTGTGCCCATCACCGCAGCATCTCAGCCCGGGGATAGGCAGGGAGGCCGTGACACCCCCCGCCGCCTCGTGCCACCCTGTCCTCCCGGCACCGGCACTCAGGCTGCCCCCTCTGCCCCCAGTCTGCACCGTGCGGTGCCAGAAGTTCCTCGTCTCCAAGGTGGGCGAGGACTGGATCTTCCTCATCCTGCTGGGGCTACTCATGGCGCTGGTGAGCTGGGCCATGGACTTTGCCATCGCCACCTGCCTGCAAGGTACGGGGCAGGAGAGCACCCCCAGGGGCTTGGGGGCGCCTGCAGCCCATGCCAAGCAGCCTGCCCACCTGCTTCCCAGGGAAGGTGCTGGGCCTCGGGGTGGGGGGTACCTGGGTGCTGGGTCAGGCATAGCCACGGGCCCTGGCGGGGCGGGGAAAGCCCCTGCCATCTGCGGGGGGCCTGAGCACTGTGTCCACCAGGGGCACCAAGTCTGCCTCTCTCCACGGGCCCAGCTTTGGTGCCTGCAGCTGCATAGCACAGCAGCTCCCGGCAGGGGCAGGGGCAGGGGCAGGGATGCTCTCCCTCCGCTGAGGGCAAGGGTTGTGTTCCCCTCCATGACCCTTGCCCCGGGCTCTGACGGGCTAGGCGAGTGCCTGCACTGACCCTGCCTGTCTGCCCGCAGCCCAGAAGTGGATGTACGGAGGCCTGGATGCCAACATCTTCCTGCAGTACATGGCCTGGGTCACCTACCCCATGGTGCTCATCACCTTCTCCGCCGGCTTCACCCAGATCTTGGCCCCACAGGCTGTCGGTAAGAGCCCGCCCTGCCCTGCGGCTGGGCTGGGCTGGGGGGACCATAGTGGCTGTGCAGGGGCTCCCTGGGAGTGCCAGGCCCCAGGGGCTGTGGGTGAGGGGAGTTTAGGGGGGGGGCCATGGCCCCTCTTTCTGGGTGGAACCGAGGGCAGAGCTGGCAGGCGCTCACCCGCCAGGCACTCACTGCCCCCTCTTGCAGGCTCAGGCATCCCCGAGATGAAGACCATCCTGCGGGGCGTGGTGCTGAAGGAGTACCTCACCCTGAAGACCTTCGTGGCCAAGGTCATTGGCCTGACCTGTGCCCTGGGCAGCGGGATGCCCCTGGGCAAGGAGGTAGGAGGGGAGCTGGGGCAGGGAGGACCAGCGTGATATGGGAGGCAGGGAGCCCCCGCTTCTGGGTGCCCGCAGGAACCTCTCCCGCTACACTCTGCCCACAGGGCCCCTTCGTCCACATCGCCAGCATGTGTGCCGCCCTGCTCAGCAAGTTCCTCTCCCTCTTTGGGGGCATCTATGAGGTAAGACCCAAGACCAGGCAGGGGGTGAGGGGTGGCCTGGTCTGGTCTGGTCTGGTCTGGTCTGGTCCGGTCTGGTGGGGGCGGGAGGGAGGGAGCAAGTGCAGTGGGTGCCAAGGCAGTGCTGAGCAATTGGCCTCGCGCAGGCCAGGCTGGGGGATGGGGCATGGGGGGAGCCCAGGGCAGGGTCTCTTGCTCAAGCTGGGGGGACTGAGGCCATGACCGGGCATGTGCTGGGGCTGGCATGCCGTTGGCAGGGGCAAGCGGTTGCCTAGTCCCCTGCAGGGAGCAGTCACAGGGTCCTGCCTACTCACCCCTGCCCCCGGCTGCTCCTGCTTTGCAGAACGAGTCCCGCAACATCGAGATGCTGGCGGCTGCCTGTGCCGTGGGAGTTGGCTGCTGCTTCGCCGCCCCCATCGGAGGTAGGGCCCCGCACCGGTCCTGGGCCCCACACACGCACACATGCACGCACATGCACACCCCCAGCAATCAGGTCCCTGACACGGAGCCAGGTCGATGCCAGGCCCCCTTGCCCTGGGCAGGTGTCTGCCCCCAGCTCCCTGGCACCCCACTCTTGGGGGGAGCCCAGACCCCCAGGCCTGTCTGGACACTGCGCAGGCTGGAACTGGCCCTGGCTCTGCTCCCCGAGGCGCTAGGGTCTCACCACAACCCCCAGGTAGCCTGGGGAGGGGGCAGTTGCTCCCCCCATTCCTCTCTCCCCTGGGTCCACTTGGCATCTAGATCGCCCAGCTCTGACCTGCCTCCCCTCTTGCTCCCATCTCTAACCTCAAGGGCCCCCCATGCCTTGTGTGGGCCCGGGCACCCCAGGACTCACTGCATTGCAACCCCCGGGCAGCACCCAGCCCAACGGGCCCCAGCCAGGCCTGGCCTCCATGCCCATGGTTGAGCAACAGCTTGGGGCGCTGTCCTCCCAGAGGTGTAATGTCTGCTCCTTTCCCCTCCACTCTGCACTCCAGGGAGGTCCCAGCTCTGGCCCCAAGGCTCCCTCGCAGCTTTGCGCTCCTAGGTTGGTGACGTGTCTAACTCTTCGCTTGTGCCCTCTGTGCTGCGCAGTGTCCTCGTCCGTCTGTGTGCGCGTGTCCATCCCACGGGCCCCAGCCAGGGCTGCCCCCTCATGCCCCCATGCTACCCTTTTGCTCACACCATGCACCACGCTGCTCCCACTGGGGCACGGGCAGCCACGTGAGGGGGACCTTCTTCCCCCACTAACACCCCCCAGCTCCGTGGCCCCCCAACACCTGTGTGGGTGCACTCCCAACCCAGCCTGGGTGGTTCCCATGCAGCAGTGTGTCTAGGCAGCCCCCCATGCCGGGGCCCAAGGGGCTCTCTGGCATGGAGGGGAAGTGCCGGCTCCCCCCCCCCCC